CTTGTACTCCGGCTTCATCCAGGGGACTATTCGTCCGCTCGGTCCGCAATGTAAGGGTAGATCGAGGTCGCGTAGGTGACCTTGTGGATCTTTCCGTCGACTGCCTGCTGCAACTGGACTGAGACAGATCCCTGGAGTCCTGTGAGGTTTGGGAGGGTGTCAGTGCGACCTGAGACGAGCCAGTGGAACAGAGTATACGCGAAAATGGGACAAGATAAGTGATACATGATGACTAGATATCTACGATACCGGCTGGTCGTCAGCTAAACAATCGCCAACTTTCAACTGACGCTACGTGATCGCCTGCACTGCTCTCGGCGTCACGCTACACAGGCGCGGGAACCCGCCAAACCCATCCGCCGCAGCCTTCATAACGAGGAAGCGGTTCGAGAAGGACAGGCTGCCGAGAATGAGGCTCTGTGCGTGTCAGCTCTGGCGTAGAGGGCTTGCTAGCTGCAGTTTCTCATATGAAATGAGGGAAGGGGGGACTCACCTGGTCGACTAAGCTGCTCACGACGCAGACGATGTCAGGCATGCCGAGCACGCCGTCCTCGACCTCGCCCGTACCTGCGAACGCGGCGCGCGCGGCAGAGAGAAAGACTTGCGTCTCGACGCGGTTCTTCGGCGCTGACGGGTTGAGCTGGTAGTGGATCGACAGCCTGGGTGTCAGCTAGGATCGTTCGCTTAAAGTAGCTGGTGCCGGGGTACGGATGCAGAGGTCCGCACGCCTGCAGCTGTCCGCATACAGCTTACACCAGGGCATCTAAGCCGGGCTGGCCGCCGGGCTGGCCAGCTGAACACCATCAAGGGAACACAGCTGCAGGATACGGGATGCTGAGAATGTGGGGATTGTGAGTGACTCACGCTTTCCGGAAGAGATTCCGCCAGACGAGAATCTCGCCGCGCTCGAAGAGAAGCAGCCAGAGCGACCGAGCGCGCAGCCATGCCCGGTGCTCGTGGATGAGATGCCGCCACGCCGCGACGTTGCCTGTCCTAAAGGCGTGAATGAAGGGAGCATACGGTAGGTCGTACTGCTGCAGCAGGGCTGGTGATGGGAGGTAGCCCAAGAGCAGGTTGACCGGCACGAGGCGGATGAGGATTGCTCTGCAGGTCAGCTCCGGTCAATCTCTCAGCGTACGCATGACACGCACCTCCGCTGCTGCCATGCGTTCTCGGGACACATGGCCCACGCCTTGTCGAGCCACCACTTTGCGCCACGCATGTCAAGGAGCACGACACCGAGCCGTCCACGCCAGTAATACGTTTCCGCAACATCTGTCCGCGGAATCATGTATCCTCTCGACTCGAGACGCGCCTTCTCGCTCGGCTGCAGCGAGCCGAACGTCTTGCTCAGCTCAGTCGCCTGCGTGTGCAATTTACGCTGAAGTCAGCTCCTGGCCGTATCTCAAACTCACCTGGGCGTATAGGCGCCAGAGAATGTTACCGACAGCCCACATGATGTCGCCTACACCATCTTGCCCTTGCCGTCCCCACTCGGCGCTGTCCATGTGCGCGCTCGAGACCTGCATTGTCTTCTCGATCGCCTGGCGAGTCGCATCTTTGATTCCACGGGGTGAGGCGTGGTCACGTATCGGCTTCGTGGAAGCATTGGCGGCGACATGAGAAATGCTCACGAGCGTCCGGCAGATCGCAAGGATCAGCTGGTTCAGAAAGGGGAAGGCGTAGCCCTGCGCGTCACTCGTTCCGTACAGCTTCTGCAGCTCACTGTCGTTAGCCATATACGACTCCTCCAGCAGCATTGGGAGAGAGTAAAAGGATACTCCTAGACGCAACGCAAGACTCCACGGTCTCATTCCTCTCTTGAACACTCACACGTGCACAGCAAGGAAGGCTTTGAAGGTTCCATATGCTTCGTCCGCGTTGTTCACGCCGGCTCCCGTCTTGACATAGGCGAAGAGCGCAGACAAGAAGCGCGCAAGGCCATCCTTGCCCTCACACGGTACAAGAAGCGGTGCTATCCGGTCGGCGGAGATCTCGCTGTCGGGCGTCTGATGTCAGCTTCCGAAATACACTTTCTAGCTTACCGATAGAAGAGCCTCGTAAAGCGGCGTCCAGAAGGGGTGCACGTGCGAGAGTGGAATCGCCTGCACCAGGTTCTGACCCAGACCTTGCGAGAACGCCTGACCGACCAATGTCGATAGTTGGTTTATCAACGCCGCCATGCTGGGCGTGGCGATTGAGAGAGGAAGATAGGATATGGATTGAGCTGATCGCGAATGGACTTGTCAACATCTCGGCGTCATAGAGTGGAGGCTGAACACGTGACCACACACACTCTGTGCCAGAGCTATGCAATGCCTATCGGTGTGCATTGGTGCGAGACAATGGCTGCCAAGTGTGCACGAACTGACCGCGAAGCACCTGAGCAAACAAAATAGCTGCTTGTTAACGCTGCCGGCAGCGAAAAAGGAAATCCGTACGACAAGAGTGAGATTCGAACTCACGCGGGAGAACCCAACCGCTATCTAATGCAATAGCAAGCGATCGCCTTAAAACCACTCGGCCATCTTGCCTCCGGCGCCGCTGTTTCCACCATCAATATAACCTTCTGCAGAACACCAGACTTGGACGGAACGACCTCGTGTATGCAAGCAGGACATTCCATTTTGCTAAAAGCACATGCCACCCAAGCGAGACTGTGGATCTAAGCTGTGATTCCGGTGTATGTGCTGCTCAACACTATTGGCGTTGAAGTGGAGGCTGCGGTGGAGGTTGTCAGGCACGAATCCAGACACCACCTGCCAAGAGTCCGTCCACCTCAACAGCACCCAGAACAACAATAACAATCCCTCGACTGTTTCGCCAGCAGCCCGATGTTCGCTCTGAAGGCCTGGCAATACATTACAGGAGCCTCCTGGCTGGGGTTCCTGCTGACCTTCACTGTTTGCGTGATCCACGTTCACTTGTCGCCCTATACCAAGGTTGAGGAGAGCTTCAACCTTCACGCAATTCACGATGTACTCCGCTACGGCGTCAGCGGTGCGCGACACCACCTGGTGAGTTTGGCTTCGTGTTTTGTAGGTTAACTGATGTCAGTGGGACCACCGAACGTTCCCGGGTGCTGTGCCGCGATCATTCCTGCCGGCCGTCATCACGGCGCTGTTCGCGAAGCCCCTCCTCGCCCTGTACAATGTCGCGGGCATCTTCACGACCTCCGTCGATGTACAGATCATGGTCCGCGTGCTGCTTGCTGGAGTCTTCGCCTTTGCGTGCGCAAACCTGACCTACACCCTGTCTCGACGATTCGGCGGCTCGACAGCTGCGTGGTTCACGATCTGGACGTTGGCGCAGTTCCACATCCCTTACTACGCAGGGCGCACGTTGCCGAATTTCATGGCACTGCCATGGTTCCTGCTCGGCATCTCGTTCATTCTGCTGCAGGAGGAGTTCTGGGGTGTGCTCTTCATCACCGCAACTGCGACGGTGCTGCGGCTCGAGATCGCTGCCTTTGTTGTCCCGACCGCGCTCCAGCTCGTCATCACGAAGCGCATGACGCTGCGCAATGCCCTGCTCGCAGGGGCGATTGGCGGATTTGGCAGTCTGCTCTTTGCAGCGCCGCTTGACTACTGGCTCTGGGAGCCAACGCTTCCTCACGACCAACTGCCAGGTTTCACAGCTAAGCACACTCTGTGGCCTGAGTTCAGCGCCATGCTCTACAATATCGTTGACGGAAAGGCGTCCGACTGGGGTGTCATGCCGCGCCATTTTTATGCCGTCGCTCTCGGCAAGAGCCTGGCTGGCGCGCTGCCGATAGCGCTGTTCGGACTGCTCTGGGCCGCCATCCAGAACATCACTGGTAAGACCCGCGGCGTCCTTCGCAATCGTAACCAGGCCCGCGCGGTCTCGGAGATTGCCAAGACGCTCCTGCCCGGTGCGGTTTGCCTCATCGCCGCCCTCAGCACCGTCGAGCACAAGGAGTGGCGCTTCATTGTGTACTCGTATCCGGTTATCAACATGATTGCAGCCGCAACGTCCGCTGGACTGTGAGTTCTGGTGCCTCCGTGTTGAACTGACGCCCAGGTGGCACATTCCGCACCGGGCGCTTCGCTTCTTGGCCCGGTTGGGCGTCCTTGGCCTTCTCGCAGGTACGATCGCACTGACGGCCGTCAGTACCTATGTCTCCGTGCACAACTATCCGGGCGGACAGGTGCACACGGAGCTCGAGGCGCTCGGCATCCCGAAGAACTGTGAGTTTGTCCGTCTTATCAACCTGGCTATCTCGCTTTTATCACCGGCGCTCTGTATCTCGCCCCTATCATGGTCGCGCCGTCACCATCGTCGGCCGTGATGACGCCACTGCGTCTCATGTCGTCCGCCAGATTGCAAAAGCGTTGCTCATTGGTCCGTGCTGACTGCAGCCACGATCCACTTCCACAGCGGGGCCCTGCAGACTGGCGCAACGCTGTTCACCTTCACGCACGCCAACTTCCCTCACTCGTCGGTCTTTCCCGACCCCCTTGAGCCGCGTTGGATCTACTCCAAGGACGAGGACGTTGCCCTCTTGGATCCGGAGAATGCTTGGGAGGCGGGCATCGACTGCGTCGTGACGCCCGACTTCCAGAAGTTCCTCTCCGCCAAGCGACATGGCCACGAGAAGATGTGGTCGCTCGTTGGCGGCATCAAGGGAGTCGCGGGCGTCGGTCGTGGAGGCAAGTATGGCGTCGAGGTCAAGTGGCGGCCAGAGCTGGGTGTGCTGAAGCGCGAGCGGGCCAGCTGCGATCACTGAGGCCATCGCTAGGGTCGTTCGGGCTTGCGATGACTGCGCCTGCGCGCTTAAAAGAAATAAACGACATTCCACAACACATTCTTCTGCTTTCCATCCATCCACAACTTCCACTTTCGTTCATCGCATGCGCAACTTGGCAGCAGCGCCGTAGCTGGCCCTACAATGCATACCTACCATGTAAAGATCGCTGCGAGCCTCCTGAGGGTAAGACGGCGCCTACCCACCGCCCCATGGGGTCGCCCTGCCGAGGTGGGAAGGCTGCACAGACCGTTGTTGGTTGCCGTCGAATGACATGCGGACAACCCGATACGGAGCTTGGAGCTTGGCTCGCGCTTCCCGACGGCAGTCGCGGGCTGCGGGGGCCGTTAATGCCTCAGCCCTCAGCGGCGGTGGAGGCGGGGGCGGTGAGTATCCTGAGAGCCATAGCCCTGCAGAGGCGGCACGGGGTAGTGGGGCCCTTGGCTCGAGAGTCACTGCGGTGAGTACCCCACAGTTGAGAAGTAGAAGGGAGTGGAAAGGGTCAAGAAGACCAAGCTTCGGATGGAGCGAGATACATTAAGAGGAGGGCTGTACAGTGAATGCTTCCTGGACTGATATGGGCCCGCAGCCAGGTTCCTGGCTGGCAGCACCCAGCCAGGAGTGGGGCTGGAGAGTAGGAGCGGGTCTCGGTACAGCCGCAGATTCGCCGGCATCGGAGGGCGGGATGTGTCACCTTATCTCCCACCTACACCAGATTACACATGAGCCTCCTGTTTGCTGCCGGACCTAGGTAGAACCCTTACGCCGTCTACCCCCAGTATCACAGGCCCCGTCCTTACCGTGGACGGCACGGCGGGCGCACGGCATAGGAGCGTCGGCATCTCTGCCGTGTATGCCGTCCCCGTATCTTGCGGAGCGCACACGAGGGCAGCAAGACCCAGAGTTTATCACCGCGATCGACACGTCTGCTCGGCACCTCGGCCCTGCCGGGGGTCCAACGTCATGTGATAAACTATCTGTTGCCCACCTGAGAGTTCCTGGGCGAGTCTCCGCCTACGGGCCCTTCACGGCCAACCGCGTTCCACAGATCTTAGGCTCTCCCCAGGTCGGTTACGCCTCAGGGTGCGCCGCAGGGTGGCTCAGAGATTACGCCTTGCGGGGTCGCATGGCCACGTTCCTCGCTGTTATACTCACCCCAATAGCCGATTGAGCTCCACCAAGCGCACCTCGATCTCGATTGAAACGCTCGTGCCCCCCCCTCCGATCCCCTCATCCCGCTTTAGAACTGGCAATCTGGAGCGTGTGACATTTTCTGTTGGAATCGGCCACTAAACCTCGCCTGTGCCGAGCTATCTATCGCTGACCGTGGGAGGGTTGCGGCTCCCTGCATCGCGAATGTCCTTTATAACGATCCACTGACGCGAGGCGATCGCCAGATCCCCCACCCAAGCCCCACCTACCAACCTTGGCCGTCGACGGGCCTCCATACTCACCTAGCTGAACACCCTACTCCACAGCAGACGACCGACACTCGCCCACCTCTTAAGTTCAAGTTCACCAAACACACGCTGCGCGAAGACGACTACGGTCGCCATGTCTACCGTCGTCCGAATGGACAGTCCGCAACGTCCCTCCTCGATCATCAGCAGCGAGAAGAAGGTCGGCGATGTTGTCACCGTCGAGGCGATCACGACCGAGGTTCAGCTCGAGCGCAACTTCTCCTTCCTGTCTGCGCTTGGGCTTGCATTCTCTCTACTGAACTCATGGACTGGTGAGTGATATACCACATGGTTTACCCGATCGGAGTGGCAGGTTACTGACGACAGCGATGTGAGTGATCGAATGCCGACGCCACGCGGCGACCGCACATGTCCACCAATTCATGATTCACTAACAACAGGTCGGCGTCACTGCAGATCATCCTCGGGTCCGGTGGTCCGGTGGCCATGGTGTGGGGGCTCGTCGTGTCTTTCGTCGGCACGATCGCGATGGCCATCTCCCTCGCCGAGATCTGTCACGTGTATCCCCTCTCCGGAGGGCAATATGACTGGAGTTGTGAGTATCCATGCATGCAACATGCACAGCTTTCCCCTACTCATGGTCCATCAATGCGCTCGACCCCATCGCCGGCGTCGTGGTGGGCACTGCGAATGGCGTGCTCCAGCCATGTGGCGCGTGCTGCCCTGGTGTCGTGGCGGTGGGCACTTTTTTTCACCCGAACCCAAATCCGGACCTGTGACACCTGTGGAGCCAATGCTAATGGCAGATACGTGTGCGCCTGATTCGATCAAGCGCGGATTGTCATATTATACAGGCTGGATGACGTCTGCGGCCTGGACGGCGCTGTTCGCTGCGGCGGGCTCGCTCGGCGTCTCATATGTGCAGGGCTGCATCTCGCTCTGGCATCCGGACTATGGAGCGCCCCGATGGCACACGTTCCTCATTCTGACGGCATTTGTCGTTGCCGTTGCCGCGCTCAACATCTTCGCTGTGCGCTTGCTCCCCATCCTTGACCGCGCCGCCGGCATTACGTCTATGATCGGCATCGTCGTCATTATCATCGTGCTCCTCGCATGCCGCGGCGCTAAGACCGGCGACTTCCAGAGCGCCGGCACCGTCTTCGGCCAGTTCACGAACACGACGGGTTGGCCCGGCGGCTTTGCTTTCATCCTCGGCCTGCTGCAGAGCACGCTCGGCCTGACTGCCTTCGACGCCGTCAGCCACCTGGTGGAGGAGATGCCCAAGCCGGCCATCAACGCGCCCAAGGTCATGGTTCTCGCCGTCATCATGGGCGCCATCACGAGCTGGATCTTCATGGTCGTCTTGCTCTTCACTCTGACTGACTGGGACGAGGTCCTCAACACTGTGTCCGGGCCCCTCCTGACGATCTACAACCAGGCGACGCAGAGCCGGGTCGCAGCCCAGATCATCGTCATGTTCAACCTGTTTGCCATGTTCGTCTGCATCCAGTGCGTGTGCACTGTCAGCTCCCGTGTCATCCTCGCATTTGCCCGTGACGGCGGCCTGGGCCAGGCGTCCCGCTTCCTCTCCCCCGTGCACGACAGGCTCAAGACCCCCATCTGGTCGGTCGTCTTCGTGTCCGTCTGGGTCGTCATCTTCGGCCTGATCTGTGAGTTGCTCTCCCTTCCTGCTATCATTGGGTGATCTCTAACGTCAGACCTCGGCTCCAGCGTCGCGCTCAACGCCATTCTCTCCGCCGCCATCCTCTTCATGCAGATCTCATATCTGATCCCGATCCTGCTCGTGTGTGTCCGCGGCGACAAGGCGTTTGCGGGCCACAGCCGCTCCTGGACGCTGGGCAAGTGGCGCCGGCCCATCAACATTGTCGCCCTGTGCTTCGCGACCCTCACCAACGCGTGCTTCATCTTCCCCCCTGCGCTCCCCGTCACGGGCGAGTCGATGAACTACGCCATCGTCGTCTTCTTCATCGTCATGATCATGTGCACTGTCACATGGTTCATTCACGGCAAGAAGCACTACGAGGGCCCGAGCGAGCTCGAGGTGCGTCTTGCTATGGGCAAGAGCGCTTAAGGGGCGGCATGTCCCCGCTCGCATACTGAGTATCGGGGAGAGTTAATGTGCATAACGCGCCGGATTGATAGAAGGGACGGTTGTGTTCATTAGCAAATGGGAGGCACTGGAACGAATCGAACGACGACAGTGCCGTTAGCTCGTGGTTGATTCCGGGCATAGTTCTTATAGTTTAGCAAGTCAAGATCCTAGTCTGAAGTGTGTAAATGCAACGGTTGTCATTGTAAGCTCGCCTCCTTACGCGTCAGTAGCGGCAATGTAACGCGTCTCGGTGTTGCGTCGGCGAGTGCCCAGCGGTCATTGCAGGACACCGAGCACTGCATCATTGGACCCGATTGCTTCAAATCGGCCACAATTCCAATGCTTCAACTCATCCATTCACCGCTGCGCCGGGCAGTACCGCAAGCCGCATTCACAACCGGCCCGAGTGACCGACAGAATGGTGAAAGCTGACATACAGTGTCACTAGCGGGGTATGGGATGTGCCTCGCCTGAGGTTTTGTGAATGCAGTGGCACTAACGCGACTCTATGGACATGACGGGGACCGTAGTGATCCGCAGCCAGCCGCTTTTCCGTCCATTGCTCATTACTCGTAGTGCCGCTGGTGTCATGCAACGCCTGTAGCGCAGTGGCTAGTTGTCACTCGACCATTAGCCATGGGCTACTCGGTCGCCGTGATGCTAACAAAAGTTTGGGCTCGACGTGCGGTCAATATACGTTTCGATCCAGCGTTCTTCGTGTCTTTAAAAGCTTCTTCCCCTCCCGTTTCTCCACTCTCAACATAATCCTCAGCCAAACTCTCCCTGATACTCTCATCTCGAGCTCCCCTCCCTCTGGTTGTTCCGGTGTTCGCTCTTACCTCCTTTGGCGACAACGGGCATCATGTCGCCCCCGGACGAAACAATAAACCTCCAAGGCATAGCAGAAGCGGAGAACGCTCCCCGCGCACAGATCCTCGCCTCCCTAGCCCCACAATACACCTTCACCTGTCTCGTGTCGCCCTCCCATCCCCTCGTCCCTCCAGCCAGACCCAACTCCGTTTTCTCAGTAGACAGCGATCTCTCTTTCCAGACAGCCCCCGAAGATCTGCCACAACGCTCCACCACCCTCGAGCTCAAATCGTATCTCGGTTCAAGCTCCCTCTTCGACAGCTACGCCGCCACGCTCTCTGGCCATCCTCTAATCGCCCGAATCCTGGACCCATCCCTCTCTCCCGGAACTCTCGCAAAAGCCCGCGCCGAGGCGGAACTGTACGCAGAGCTGGAGAGCTTGCAGGGCCAAGTGATACCCCGGTTCTATGGCCTGTGGCACGGCAAGCTGGAGGATCTGGTGGGACGCGGGGAATATGAGCGGCAACTCCTCGTGATGCTGCTCGAGAATTGTGGGGAGCGGCTCGACAAGCTCTTCGCGCGTGGCGGAGGCGCGTCCGTCAAACCTGAAGACGTACGCCGTCTCTTTTCCCGATTGCGAGAGAGTGGTGAAGTGGCAGGAGACGTGTACTGTCTCCCTGGCGGTCAACTGCGGATCGCTGGTCTAAGGCCAGCAAGTAGGGAGAGGGTGGAGAGGACAGATAGGCCACGAAGCGTGGATACCAGACTTGCGAACACCAAACAGCCGCCGCAACGTCCCCATCCCCGCCGCCCACCGCCGCCACCCCCCATGCCGAAGTTACCGCCGGCGCCGCCGTCGCCCGTCTCCCCCGTCTCCCCCGTCTCGCCGCCACCTCCCTCACCCTGTCAGAAGAGTGAGGCGGGCCAGCCACTTCCTGAACCCCCCAAGAGCGCTAGTTCCTCCTACATCGCAGGCGGGTGTTCGCCCACCTCTTCCGTTAGCTCCAAGCCAAGTGTCAAGTTTCCCGACCGCCCGATATCACTTCCTCCCCCGCCTCCCGTTATTGACATTCTCTGCGAGCAGCACCCGGACGACGGAAACGGGGACGAGGAGGGGAACGTCGGGAACAGAGCGTCCGTGCTCACATTCAACCAGGGTGCTAGATCCCTCGTTGCCCGGAGCTGTAGTCCGCCGCCTGAGCTGGTTTCCGTGTATGAGGATGAGTGTCCCAAGCCCCAGCTTAGGAAGAAGAAGAGCTGGCTCAGGAGCAAGCCTAGTCTCCGCAGTCTGAGGCTGTTCCGGCGCAAGGAGAAGGATAAGGCAGAGGACGGCCCGCATCTGGAGGTGGTTGTATAGATCAGTAAAGGTCAGTTGTATCAGTATATTCCCGGGCGTGCACGCATACTGTACCAAGATAATGCTGCATGCTGTAGTTTGTTAGAGTCTACTTTTGTGTCCAGAGCGCGAGCCAGCGCTCCGGGCCGCGCCCTAGAACTGGACCTTGTGCAGGATGCCCTGCTGCATGCCCTTCATGAGCGCATATGCGAAGCGCGTGTTCGGGACGGGGAAGTTCTTCTCCTGTGCCAGCTTGACCACCGCACCAAGCACGACCTCGACCTCGAACGGCCGCCCCTGCTCAATGTCGACGAGCATGCTCCACTTGTGCGTCTTGGCCGGGTTCGGCTTGGAGACAAACTTCTCCCACATGCCCTGCACAATCGATTCGGGCCCGCCGGCAGTCGTCCCGGCTGGTTGGACCGTCATGCCCTCCCACAGCAGACCGGTCGCGTAGCCCAGAGCAACGACCTCGGTCATGAAGTCCTTGATCAGCTGCTGCGAACTCTCGTCAACGAGTGCGAAACACGGCTGCGGCGTGCGCGTCAGGCCCTGCAGCGTCGCTTGCGTCGCTGTCCAGACGTTCTTGGCGTAGCGCATCGAGACGACGTCGTCGGTCGTAATCACGTTCGCATCGGCGGACTTCATGAGCGAGACCCACATGTCGAGCGCGGCTTCGGAGCGGCCGCACATGGGCTGAGCGCGAGAAGGGGGCGGGTAGAGACCGACGCCGAGCTTCTCGATTCCGCGCCATGTCACCACATCGCCCGCGGGGTTGGTCACGCCAGAGATCCAGGCCAGACAGGAGAGCAGGGGTGTAGAGCCGATCGCGGCTTTCAGGTCTTCCTCGACACCCAGGCCGTTCTGTCGTCAGCTATCAGCCGAAGTCGGGAGCTGCTCATGCGACCGTTTGTTCCTCTCACCTGGATCAGCAGGAAGGTCGACACCTGCCCTGATTCGATCGTCGGGGCGAGCACCTTCGCATTGCTCCGCACATCAGGGAGACATTTCGTGCACAGCACACAGAAGGTGTAGTGCGTGCCGTCCGCAAGAGCCTCTTCCTGGCTCTTGAACACTGCGATTGTCAGTGGATTGCTTATGCGGCGCCTGCCGCCTCGCTTCTTCTGCGGGGGAAAGATGATAGCCGGCGGTATGAAGAGAATAGTTTCCGCGGCTTTCATGCGCGTATCTGTAAAGGACAGCCGGTAGATTATGGGGAAGGAAGACATGCCCCCCATGTTCCGCAATGAGCGCGCACGGAGGCTTGGCAAGGGCGAGACAGGCGCCCCGCACAGCTCATGCCGCCGCCCCAGACGCCAGCTGCGCCACGGTGGGCAACGCCGCCCGTGGTTTAGCGGTCCAAGAGACCGGGCCGGTCGACCGGCACTTCCTCAAAGATCAGTGCGAGGTTGCGATCCACCGCGATGCGCTGTGAGGGGCCAAGCATGCACACGGGTGATCCGGTCTGAGAGGGAAACAGAGGCGGCCGCACTGGCGTCAAATCCCCGGGCGCCGAGAGCGATCGATCGGCTACTAATACGCACCTCGGCTAGGCCGCCAGGCGTCGACGACGCCGAAACGGTCGGTGTCGATGCGCACGCCGTGCTCCTTGTACAGGCTGTAGTTGCTGCGTGCGACGGCGGTCACGCGGGCCCGTCCGGACTGCGGGTGTCAGTGTTGCGCTTCTCGGAGGCTCGGCGTTCGTCGTGTGAGAGGGTGTCGGAATTGGCTCCGCGATCGGGGCACGAGATGAAGGGGGAAGACAGCGGGACAACCGAGTGGGGGAAAGCAAGGACGCACCTTTTCGAGGAGGTATCCATAGATGGTGCCGATGCTGCCCAGGCCGATGAGGAGGATGTTGACCTTTGTGGAGTCGCTGCGTGCTGCGGGGTGTGAGATGTCCATGGTGGTGGGTGGATGGGTGGATGGCCGGCGGTGGTGGGTGGGTGGGT